CTCCTCTCAGGACCGTTGGGGTGCGGCGGAGGGGGGGGGGAAAGCCGGGCGACGCGGCGCGTCACCGTGTGTATCCTGACTGAGGCGGGGTCGCGTGTCAGGAATCCGTCCCTCCTGCCGGGCCCCGACTGAGGGGCGCGGGCAAAGCGGGGGGGGACACGCTTGGCCACGGGCGGAAGGGCTGCGGGGGGGGCGCACGAATTCGTTTCAAAGGGGGGGCTGGGCAGCCTCCCCCTCCGCTGTTGCCACCCCCCTTCCCACCCGAGGGCGAGGACTCACTCCGAGGGGCAGCGCGTCCCTCCCGGGCCCCGGCGGCGGCGGTGGCTGAGGCGAAGGCGGCGGCTGAGGCAGCCTGGGCGCTTCCGCTTCCTCGTCTCTTCCTCCGGGTGGCGAGGAGGCTCCCCCGAGGAGCGGCACCTCCCGCCCGCCTCCCCCTCCGCTGTTGCCACCCCCCTTCCCACCCGAGGGCGAGGACTCACTCCGAGGGGCAGCGCGTCCCTCCCGGGCCCCGGCGGCGGCGGTGGCTGAGGCGAAGGCGGCGGCTGAGGCAGCCTGGGCGCTTCCGCTTCCTCGTCTCTTCCTCCGGGTGGCGAGGAGGCTCCCCCGAGGAGCGGCACCTCCCGCCCTGCCCTGCCCCGGCGGGCCCGGCCGTCTTTCGCCCCCTCAGAAGGGGCCAAAGGCTTCCTCAGAACGCCGTGCCAGGAACATACAGTAGGGGCGAAGGGCCCGCGCTCACTCGCCAGGCGCCTTTCCAGAGCCCATCACGGAGCTCCCTCCTTCGTGTGTGTGTGTGTGTGTTTTTGGACGGCCCCTCTGGAGAGCCCCCGGCCGGGTGGGTAGGGGGGTCCCTGCCGCCGCCCGTGGGGCTCTCGGTCAGTGGTCTCGGCCAGTACGTGCTTGGTCAGTGGCCCTCATGCCTCCGGGCCCGCTTCCCCGGGGGGGGCATGAGGGCCACTGACCAAGCACGGTGCCTCCTTCTGAGTAAGAGGGTCGCTAGCGCGCGGCCAGTGGCCTTCTGAGGAGCGCGTTGCAAAGTCAGAACGAGTCGGGTCCCTCTGGCGCTCCGACCCCCCCCCCTCTCTCCACGGCTGGGAAGCCGAAAGAGGGTTAAAAGGCCGAGCCGGGAAGGAGGCTGAGCCGCTTCGGAGGACGGGGTGGGGGGGGAGCACCCTTCCCCCTTTGGAACATGTTTTTCAAAGGATTATAGGGGGAAACAAAAATAACAAAGAGGAGGGGAAAAAGACGAAAACGCGGTGGCACTTTGAAGATTAACTTTTATGTTTTTTTTAATGTGAGCTTTCGTGGACAAGCCCACTTCCTCAGACGTTCCCATTTTTGAAAGGGAAAAGCTGCTTCCGCGCAGCCCTTTCCCTGCAGAGCTAGTTTTCTACCAGCAGGGAACCCTGTGGTTCTCAAACTGGGGTCCCCAGATGTTCGTGGACTGCAACCCCCAGACATCCCGGCCAGCACAGCAAGCGGCGAAGGCTTCTGGGAGTTGCAGTCCAAGAACATCCATCGAGAACCACTCTTAAAACATGGCGGGGAGCGTGCCAAAAGGCACTGCTTGCAACCTCCCCCCCCCCGGTCGGGGGAGGGACAGGCCCCCTTCGTTGCACTTGCGAAACGAAGCCTCGCCGGGGGTTACTCCCGTGCAAGAAAGAGGAGCTCGCTCTTTCCCTTCCCCCTCCGCCCGGGTTGGGGAGGGGTAGGACAGCGCACGCGCTGGAGCACCCCCGGCTGGCGCCTAGGTCTTGAGAGCTGAGGGGGGGGGAGGAGAGCGAGAGCGAGCCGAAGGCTGGGCGGCGCGCGCGCGCTCCCGAGCCCGCAGGCCGCCCCTTCGCTGCTTCCTGGCTCCGTTCGCCCCGGCGAGACCTCCGCGAGGATGCCGAGCGCCAGCCTCACCCCGCAGGTGCACTGGGCGCAGCGGCACCACGAGCTCTACCTGCGCGTGGAGCTCAGCGACGTCCAGGTCGGTCGGTGGCCGGGAAGCTCCGGGAGTGGGAGGGCGAGTGGAGGGGGGCGGTTGGGTGCCCGAGCCAGGGCTCTGTCGGCCCCCATGGCGCGGCCTCTCCCGGCCGG